CCACCTTATCTATAGCTACTGCAACTGCAGTTCAAACAACACTCTTGATCTGAGTATCTATTTAGTGATAGCTCTTGACTCAACAGTTCACCGCCAACTTATCTATAGCAATGCAACTGCAGTTTAAAGAACACTCTAGAACTGATTATCGATTTAGTGATAGCTCTTGACTCAACAGTTCACTGCCACCTTATCTATAACTGCTGCAACTGCAGTTCAAATAACACTTTTTAACTGAGTGCTGATAACTTTTGACTCAACAGTTCACCACCAAATTATATATAGCTGCTGCAACTGCAGTTCAAAGAACACTCTTGATCTGATTATCTATTTAGTGATAGCTCTTGACTCAACAGTTCACCGTTACCTTATCTATAACTGCTGCAACTGTAGTTCAAAGAACACTGTTGAACTGATTATCTATTTAGTGATAGCTCTTGACTCAACAGTTCACCGCCACCTTATCTATAACTGCTGCAACTGTAGTTCAAAGAACACTGTTGAACTGATTATCTATTTAGTGATAGCTCTTGACTCAACAGTTCACCGCCACCTTAACTATAGCTGCTGCAACTGTAGTTCAAAGAACACTGTTGAACTGATTATCTATTTAGTGATAGCTCTTGACTCAACAGTTCACCGTTACCTTATCTATAACTGCTGCAACTGTAGTTCAAAGAACACTGTTGAACTGATTATCTATTTAGTGATAGCTCTTGACTCAACAGTTCACCGCCACCTTATCTATAACTGCTGCAACTGTAGTTCAAAGAACACTGTTGAACTGATTATTAGCGAATTTCCCTATAGGGAAGTAGCTATTACCGTAGGTCTCATGGTAAGACTTAGGCCCGGGACCGATTTACTTTTTCATTTTAATGTCCCCAGAGGCCAAAAACACCATTCGTTCAAATTTTTATATATGTATATACATATATATAGGTATATATATATATATATATAGATTTATATATATATATATGTGTCCGTGAACACGATAACTTGAGTAATTTTTATCAGATTTTGATGAAATTTGATTTGAAGGTGTAAGGCGGGATAAACTTGAATGAGTTCGCGATCCAGCATGATCGGTCCATGGGAAGAGGGTTTTATGGGGGGGTTTATGGGGTAAAAATTGGTTTTTCTCACTTTTTACCCTCAAAACACAAAATTTCCCAATTTTTCTCTAAACCTTCTTAAAGAGCTTAAAAAAACAAACAATTCAGTATATCAAAGTGTTTTTGTACGGTTATTGGTTACGGAGAAAACTAAAAAAATTGTAAATTTAAAATTCCCATGTGATTCTTATGGAGAATATTGTAAAATGTTGTAGTTTGCTTGTTTATGGATATATTTTGATCAAACTTGGCAAATTGATTTATTTTATAGTAAGCTATCAATATTTTACTAAAAACACACTACTTTATTAGTTTCCTTGTAGCAGCAAACCTAGGTACTCGTTAAACCTAATGTTATTTAAATAGATCAATTGAAAATAAATTCGGCCAAATGGAAATTCGCTTAGACGGCAGGTTTGCTGCGGCGGGGGTATCTATTTAGTGATAGCTCTTGACTCAACAGTTCACCGTTACCTTAACTATAGCTGCTGCAACTGCAGTTCAAAGAACACTGTTGAACTGATTATCTATTTAGTGATAGCTCTTGACTCAACAGTTCACCGCCACCTTATCTATAGCTGCTGCAACTGTAGTTCAAAGAACACTCTTGAACTGAGTATCTATTTAGTGATAGCTCTTGAGTCAACAGTTCACCACCACCTTATCCTTACAGATATAAAAATAAAATTTGCTGCAGCTGCAGTTCAAAGAACACTCTTGAACTGATCTATTTAGTGACAACTCTTGAGTCAAAAGTTCACCACCACCTTATCTATATTTGCTGCAGCTGCAGTTCAAAGAACACTCTTGAACTGATTATCTATTTAGTGATAGCTCTTGACTCAACAGTTCACCACCACCTTATCCTTACAGATATAAAAATAAAATTTGCTGCAGCTGCAGTTCAAAGAACACTCTTGAACTGATCTATTTAGTGACAACTCTTGAGTCAACAGTTCACCGCCACCTTATCTATAAGCTGCTGCAACTGCAGTTCAAACAAAAGTTTTGAACTGAGTATCTATTTAGTGATAGCTCTTGACTTAACAGTTCTCCACCACCTTATCTACAACTGCAGTTGAACCAACACTTTTTAACTGAGTGGTGATAACTCTTGACTCAACAGTTTAACGCCAACTTATCTGCATCTGCAGTTGAACCAACACTTTTTAACTGAGTGGTGATAGCTCTTCACTCAACAGTTCTCCACCACCTTATCTACAACTGCAGTTGAACCAACACTTTTTAACTGAGTGGTGATAACTCTTGACTCAACAGTTCAACGCCAACTTATCTGCATCTGCAGTTGAACCAACACTTTTTAACTGAGTGGTGATAACTCTTGACTCAACAGTTCGCCGCCAACTTATCTGCAACTGCAGTTGAACCAACACTTTTCAACTGAGTGGTGATAACTCTTGACTCATCAGTTCACCGCCAACTTATCTGCAACTGCAGTTGAACCAACACTTTTTAACTGAGTGGTGATAACTCTTGACTCAACAGTTCACCACCAACTTATCTGCAACTGCAGTTGAACCAACACTTTTTAACTGAGTGGTGATAACTCTTGACTCAACAGTTCACCGCCAACTTATCTGCAGCTGCAGTTTAAACAACACTCTTGAACTGAGTATCTACTTGGTGATAACTTTTGTATTAACAGTTTAGCTAGCCCAGGCTAGGTTTTGTGTTTGAACAAATTAGTTACAAGCAAAACTATATACCACTGTAATTTACACAAAAAGATATACATTTTACCAAAAGTCCCCTAAAATCTCCCCATAGCTTTCCCCCCACTCCCTCCTCAAAGTCAGGAAAATTGCAATGTTTTACTAAATTACATCGCCTATATCTTATAAGGTTTATTCGATTACAATTATTTTTATTCGTTATATACCAAAGTAAATTTTATAAAATAAAGTTTTCCGCGCTTTTGCGATAAGTCCAATACTCTTCTTATATTATGAAATTGGGAAATATTTACGCCAATGTTTTAGTTTTTCTGCCGGGGTGTTTTTAACGCTGAAAAAGTGAAAACCCCTTATATAAAGGTTGTAGAATATGTCTTCCTGGAAATTTTTATATGCATAAGTATGGAATTATGATATAACCATGGGCAAGGAACGGCCCAACGAGACGGGGGTCCGAGCCTGGGGGGTGTATAGCCACCTGAGAATTTATGAAGTACTGTTGTTACTATAGACTATGACAATTTATTCAGCTATCTTAAAGTGTTCGTGAATGTTGTTTTTTCGTGTTTCAGTGATAATTATTGCTCATCTTCGAGCCTAATCTCGTTGTCGAAACAGTTCACCGTCTCTATTGTATCTACAACTCCTGACACTGCAGTCGGAACAGAATTCTAGCACTCGTATGCCAAGTACATTATGTACTTTGTGATAAATCTTGATCTTGATTCAACAGTTCAATGTCTTCATCTTATACAGATCATATAACTGGTGACACTGCAGTTAAAACGAAACTCTTGTACCGAGTATCTTATTAAACCTTTGACTTACTAGGGTCCTCTATAATCGTATATCTGATCACACTGCGATTACTGTTAAATTAATATATTTATACCAAGCACAGATGCAATAATAATTATCAATAACACTTTTAATGCCAATATATTTAACAAAAATTATAACTATCTCTAATTTTATCTGGTGTTCAATCCGATTGAATTTTACAATAAAACACAACCTAATGCATGAGTAAAACTAATTATAATTGTCAAATTATAGTAGTAGTATTATTACATTAGCTATTATAGAAGTTATTTTTCAACCAGCCTCTGCAAGTTGTATTAAGTATGAATTGTGTGTGTTGTAACAACCAGTGATAAGAAAGATCGTGTTATGAATATTTATTGTCCATCACATTTATCAGTTATACAACACACTTGTGGATGCTGCTGACTTTTTGCATATCGACACCAAAAGCAAAATCTGTGTCGAATACTTCACATAAAAGTTCTCGATTCCATGAGTTTCACAAACTCATTTTTATTTATTTTTTTCCGTCAATAGGATAATTTCTTATATTTGGATTTATTTTTCTAAGAATTGTTTATTTCGTTCTTACGATTGGCTGTACTATATACATATGGAGGATGTATTTGTATAGTGTTCATTTCGTGAAGACAATTATTTCAGCAATTTTCTTCATGGGAAGACAAGAGTTTTGCTAAATAAATAGTTGCCTAATGGAGAATCCTATCACATGCATGGAAAAAAAATTACATAATTGGATTCACGCCCAGTCTTAAGATTACTGGCTTAATGATTACTTAGGTTTTCTGCCATAATGACCCAAAGTAGTTTTTGTTTTTGCCTGAGAATAGTTCAAAATACATTTGGATTTTAATATGAGTTTTGTAGTGCTTAAAAGTTTTCTAATTCAAATGATTTGTTAAAAATATTTCGAGACCTTAAAAAAAATGTAGAATGGCCCTGGGCCTAGGGTTTACCACGAAGACTATGTTAATAGCTACTTTTCTATACAGAAAATCATATCCATGCAATCTCCAAACATCTTATTGTTACTGGGCTAATATTAAAATACTACTAAGCTCCCATGGATGCCATTTCTGGAAATAGAGATTTTTTTTTATTGTTGCTACCGATAGGTGTACAGTTGTTAGTTTTCCCAATAAGAGTTTGGGGAGAATTAGAAGTGTTTAGCCACCTTTTAAAAGTAACTGAACTTTCCATAAAACATTTTTCTTAATTTTAGTACTCTTCCCTTTCTAAAGTTAAAACTAACACATTCTAAATGAGTGGTAACCATGTAAACTCAATACTCAAAGATAGTTGACCCTTGACTTTTAAAAAATTTATAAGATTTAAAATACGGAAACAAATAACACCAAATTAATTTTCAATCATATATTTATTATTTTTAATAACATGCTGAACGCATATACACTCTTACAAAAAATAAACTCGATTCATATTCAATATTAGTATACATCGGAATTCATTCACAATAAATTATTTACCTACACTATTTACATTGATACATCAGAGCAACTGTTTTGAATTACAAGTCTACCAAAGGCACCTAAACTATCTAAAACTGAATACATAACTATCTAGAAGGCTGTTTATATTTTTTGTAAACATGAAACAAAAACCTGTAAGGTTTAAAACATTTATAATATTTGGGCATAGAAAAGGGTGCTTTGGAAAACTCATTTAATGTACATCAAAGACAATATATATAAAATAGTTTAATATACAAGCTTGAAGAGATAAAATACTTACTTCTAATATCTACAAACTATCAAAAAACATGTTTGTAACTGATCATTGAAAAATATATCTCTATCACACTTAAGACACTGTTGAGGATTTTAAGGCAACATTGCTGCTATTAAATGTTTTACATAATTAATTGTCGTCTTGTTTCAGTTGGGTCATTTCGTAAAATAATCTACATAAATTGTTTTACACTTAGCGTTTACTATTGCTAATCCGACGAAATTGTCTTCAACTTAACTTGTATATCACTATAAAAATATGTTTGTTATGAAATAAATAATTAGACAGGCCAATAAAAGATAACAAAAACATGTGTTGTGCAAGTTATTTCATATTTTGTCAAAATCACGACACCAATAATGCCTCAAAGTATTGATAATACAAACAACAAAAACATTTACAACACTATTTATTTATATGATATTCAATTAGTACGTTTTTTGACAATCAATAATACTGTTTGAACACATAATTTCTCTTCGTCCTCTATCTCATTGCCCCGGCCGCGGGGGCGGAGTCCTAGTCTCAGTGGACGCGACCACAAACCGCCTCCATACCGCTGAGCTGGCCGAAGTAAGGGTACCCGGACTTGGCCTCCGATGGAGAGTGGGACGGGGTCAGATTGGAGGCGGCTCCATACATTTGGCTGGCTCCGGCGGAGAATAAGCTGAAACAGAGAGAAAGAGATGAGAAACCCGCTAGTGAAAGGTTGAGCGGGAGACCTCAACGGTGGGATGCACCGAAGTCGCCGAACTATTCGTAGAGAACTATGGTCAGTGGAAGAAAAACTTTAACAAATGAGTTAACTCAAATTTTAGAACTATTCATAAGATAATACATAATTAAAATTTAAAGAATTAAGAGAGACTTGAATAGGAAAATAATAGATAGTATAATAATAAAAGTAAATAAAAATGTACTGCAACAAGCGATTGAAATAAAGTGACAAATGTAGCAGAAAAAAATAGACAAACTATTACTTTCATATTCATAGCTTATAGGTAAAACTGAAGTCATCGAACAACTCACTAATTAAATCGTAAAAAAAAAGTTTAATTGCGGCAATCATATAAAAAAAACGTAGTAGAGAGTAAAAGAGATGAAGGTTTCACAAGTTGATACAAAGACTAAAGTGCAGAATTATTTATAAAACAAAAATGGAAGTAGGTGAGAAAAATCTGGATTAAACTACATGACGTTGAATTAAACAAGAAGGCTTTAGCTAGCTGAAGTTTTGCAAGTCGCCGAGTGAATCTGGAGTGACGTAATCTTGGATCCCTGAACAGGTTAGATTTAGAGAGACCTGGGTGAACATGTAATTAAGATGAATTTTAATAGTAAGTAAAGGTGACACTCTAAAAAGATGCGTATTTGGGCTGACGTCACACAACATGGAACAGTTACATCTTTATGTACTTAGGAGAACTAAATTTGATTCAGTCTAATTTTTGATTAGCATTAAGACGCAAATTTTTTTTTTGAACTGTGCATTAATCGAAAGGCAACATTTTATAAGGCAAGTTAAGGGAATACAATATGGCAGACCATTGATTATTGGCCAATCTGACTGTGGTTGTATTATGTGGCTTTGTAGACATAGACATACAAATTGCGTGTGGCTGACTGTGGGAGGTAACGCATTAGACGCACACGCAGACGGATTACACAGTAGGCCTGTGTAATGAAATGGTCATCAACTTAATACATGTCATTGTCTCGGTGGTTGGGCGGGCGGTGAGGCTGGCCCCCTGTGTCCCACCTCAGCGCGCCACACGGCGACCAGAGTGAGCGTGGCAATTACAGACCGATAGCACTTTTGTGATTCATTTCAAATTATTTTCAAATTTGATATATTACACTACTATGTGGTATATGTTTACATTAAAGGTATAATTTAAAACGTTATCGAAAATGTGAGTGTAATATGATTTTTTGTCTTAATCGTTGGACTTGAAGAAACTTCTGTATTAAACCACATGACTGTCGTATTTCAATGGACCATTCCTATACAAAATTTCTTAAAATCATTCATGAAACTTAACAACTAAATATAAGTTTATGTCAATTGGAATAATACCTATTAAAAACATGATTGTGAATTAACATTCTAAATTATTAACTTTTTAAAAGTCAAATTTTAAAACTGGTAAATTAAGTTTTAGTATGTTACAAATATTGAAATAAAAATCCTCTAGCATTTCTATTTAATAAGAAATGAAAGAAAACCCAAAGCTCCGTCGTTTGATTGTATTTGTATAAAGAACACACTGACCACTACACTGTTATAATGGTAGGGAGACTAATGGAAGGTGAAAGAGAGAATTGCGTGTTTGTTATTGCCTAACCCAAATGTTTTAACTCCTTGAAGGATTACAACAGACCTCTTATGTTCTATCAAAGTATCTAAACTTAACCTTCTACGGTTTTTCTTTTATTTGACAGACATTATAGAAACGTGTAAGGGGTCCAAGTTGTATTTTAAAAATACAAATGCGCTAATTGACTACAAATTACTATAAAACTTATTATTACGACTCGTTTTGATGAGAATAATATAAAAGTCATTCCGATTTCTTAGATCCTCTCATGGGTTTTTCATCATCCACAATTACTTTTCTACATCAACAACGTAATATCAATTTCACGCTTTTTAACCTACTCGAAAAAACACACATTGTGAGGTCAATCGAGTCCCGCCGTAATAGCTAAATCTAAAGCTGTTAACAGAGAAGATTGCTCCGGGCAGTCCAGAAGGTACAATTAACTTTACACTCGCATAAAACCTACAATACACACATAGACAATTAAACGACTAAAAGAGGAAGACAGTAAAGCTACGCGGCTGGTGGGCTGGCGAGACTAACGCAGATGTGGCATTGTACACTGATAGAGAGTAATCATAATCCAAGAGTAAAAGCCTGCAATCATCAGTAGCGGAATTACATAATTCTGGGAATGGATGGAGAGCGGCTACTCGTTTTCCCGCCAAAACACGGATGTCATTACAAAAGTAAACCTGAATTACTCCCGAGTTCGGGGAGAGTCAGTTAATTTAATGGAGACATCGCATATCAATTTATGGCTTCGAGACCTCCTCGGTGTGATTTCAATTTTCAAATTACAGGTCTCTGGGAAAGTTGGCCGACTGGTTGTTAGTGTCATTGGACGGCCTTGATTAAATAAGATCTAATTTAGGAGAACAAAGACATTGTAGAAGGTAGATGGATTAAGCTTGATTTAGTCCATGATACAAAGTTTATTTATACGGGGGAAATATTTTTGACTACTTTGAAGGTCAATATTAATAAACTGAAACAAAATTGGTAGAGATTTGAGATCTTTCTCGTATATATTTACTATTTTTTTTAGTGATAGAAAAATGTTATGATTGTCTAAATGTATCAGAGCGATTTAATTTCTTACTCTTTAGTTTAAGACGCTATAAACCAGGATACATTGTATCAAAAATAAATTAAATAAAATATATGGCTCGTGTGTTTTTAAATGTAGAAAAGTACTAGATTCCATTTATTGGTTTGCTTGTTTGTAAAAAAAAAAAAATTGTAATCATCTTAAGAACAGAAGAAAACCAAATTTGGAGACCAACCTATAGTTGTCTGGCCAGTGAGTAGGAACATCCACCCCCTTGGAGGCGCTGGTGGCGGTTTGGTGTCTAGCCCATGGTGAGGCGCCCCCTTGGGCACATTGCTGGGTGGCGCCCTGGTAGTACTGAGCGCCCCCGAGGTCCGTGGCTCCCCCAGCCCCTGGGTATCCACTGTTGTACCCCCCGAGCCCTCCTGAAGCTGCATACCCAGCCACGGCTGCCTGTTGTGCCCAACTAGCTGCATGACCTGGGAACAACAGATTATTTAACTATTCAGATTTACCTGACAATTTTAGAGTGAAAGTATCTCTTGCAAAAGGACTTAAAAGATAATTTATAAGATATGTGTTAGTAAAAATGTAAGTAACAGCTGAACGTGTCTTTCAAACAGAAAAAAACTGGAACACAGTTAAGCTGAACGTGTCTTTCAAACAGAAAAAAATTGGAACACAAAATAAAAGTAGACGATTGGCGGTTAAGAGCAAACATCCCAAACTTTAATGCAAAAAGCTAGGAGAAAGTGTTGAATATCGAGATATTTAAATAACTTTACACTGTTTTAACGAACTTTCCATGGAAGCATTTAGTCTAGTAAACAGCTGTTTGCCACCAGCTTAATCAAATTACGTTTCATTACGTACTACTGTCCTGTAATGAATTTTTACGGGACGCCAGCTTATTATATTTAGCAACGAGTGGTTATAACTAAAACATAACCTCTCTTGAAGGTAATGAGTAGTGATTGTTAGTCATTTAGTCTGTGGATATATATAAGGAGTTTTGCAGAATTCTTGTTGTTTAGCGTGAAGTAAAATAGCGTATGTCACTCGTCCTAAAAGTGTTTACCGGACTAGTACGGTAATTCCGCACTCGACTTCGTCTCACACGGGAACGACCACACTCAGGACTAGTAAAGTAATATACTATTAATAGGGGCAATCGCTGTGTCTCAGGATTATGACGGTTAATAATCTTAAGATATTTTAAAATTATAGGAAAATTTAAGAATACAATTCTTTTTAATCTTAAGACAAATTCAAAATATGTTTTTAGGACATGAGAATTAACTTTTTATTATCAATTTATACATTGATACAGTAACACAATGGTGCTTAGTAAACTTGAAGGTTAATTTAAATAGAAAAATGGCGAAGAAAGGAGTTACACGATTTTCGCTGTTTGAGTAAGTTCAGTTTTTTCGTTGACTAGGACCATTTATTGAAAACCCAAATATCAAGGGCAGCTAAATATTTTTTTAAATACCCATGTCCTATTTACTAATTTCAGGAAGGAAACGGCTAACTTGTGTTTACAATGCAAGAACCATAACCATTGAGCTAAAATCGCATTGTAAATATTATCAAATTTCACATTACCTCTAGAAATCTCTTGGTTCTAGTCAAGCTACTTTAAAAAATTCCATCTTGTCGTCTAATACCCAAAAATTGATGTGTTCAACATTTCGATTGAACATATCGAGAAAGTAATTGTATTTTTTGGTCAATTGAAATACTAATTCTGATTTTTTCCAGAATCTATCTTGTCTAAATTTCATTCATCCCAAAAGAATATTAATACAAAATTCCACTACAAATAGCAGAAGGTATATCGGTTACAGCACCAGTTGATCATCTGTACAATTATCGGGTTAATGCCACAAGTGAGACACTAGTCCAGATATGATCGCTACAGCCTAGCATTTTGCTAATCACCTCACCTCAGGACCGGTAGAATGGGGGTTAATACATGACTACGGAGAGGAAATCGACCATTGCGTACACGGGATCACTGGCGATGCTGTAATTACTGCTTCTAGTCTGAGACTGAGATTCCTCTAGATGTGTATCTATGAGTTTCTATGTTTGAATGTAATGGTTCAATGGAGTAGAATGAATGTACAATAGGGATACTAAACCCAAATTCTTGATGTTTTGGAAAATAAACAACTTAACACTCCTCAGAAAAAATATATACCCAAGAAAACGTTAAAAACTATTTATTAATCTTGCGAATAATTATTACCAAAATCTTGACTTAGTAAATAATGATTATATTAAATAGAAACACAATTTTTTGTTGTAGCAGAAATGTATTTCGGTACAAGGCATACAAATAATGTAAAGACCTGATTGATCCAGTATATCTGCAATAGATCATCAAATGTAAAGGGTGACAGCTTAAGTGTACCACAATTTTTTTTTTCAACTATGATTTGGAGAAACATTTTTAATGGTAGACTTAAAATAGTTTTTTTACCTCGTGCAACGATCAAACGTTGGAATGATATTTGTATTTGTTGTAAATAAGCCGAAATGTTTTAATATTTTTTAAACGAACTTTGATGTTTGTTTTAAAAACCTCAATTTTTATTACTTATCCAGAATGCACGTCCAGTTTATATTTTTTACTATCTTTTTAAGAACCCTTACTGTTCTGGAGATTTAAGCAGTGAAAGTTCAATATTTATTTCCGAAAGAAGTAAAATAGATAAACTAACTCTTTTTCGGTATTAGACCTATAACTACTACTAAAAAGTGTTAAAGCCTTATATAATAAAGAATTAGTACATAACCTAATACCATAAATGATCACAGGCTGTCTCATAATCTAGTTAAACCAACAAACTGTCAGCAACCCTATCAAACACCCCTTCAACTTCCACCAAAAATCAACCAATCTCTAAAGCTCCATCAATCAAATTTCCCAGCTTTACAACAGCATCAAACACCCATCGCCCGAAACGCCCGTTCAAGACGTAGAGCCGCCGCTAGAAGCGGGTAATTTAATTTGAACGCGTGCAATTTGAGCCAGGTGCTTGCGTCGGCGCGCTTTATTATAAGGTATTAGTAAATAGCGCCCCATGTAATCCAGATACTATCTGGGCCGCCACGGGTATTATGATACTCTGCATCGCTTTAATATTCGTTTACCAGCATTTTTCCTCGCCCCTAAATACCCCGTTCGTATTCCCACAGCGTTTTTATCGGCCTTCTTCTTAATCTTACTTAACAGACACTTAGTCGTTTTAATGAACTGTGTTTTATTTGTTTCTCCGAGTTGTTGCACGTTTAGTTTTGGATTTATTTCTACGTTTTGGGTTTCTCGTCTTGTTGCTTGTTTAAGTTTAGATTTGTTTTTTCTTGTTCTTGTGTGGTTTTAGGTTTTTTTTTTGTATTGTTGGGTGTTAGATGTTTGGATTTGTTTATTGGTATTGTTGATTTTGTTTATTTAGATTTGTTCTTTGTTATTGTTGCATGTTTGGTTTTAGATTTGTATGTTTGGATTTTGATTTGTTTGCTCGTTTCGTTGTTTATTTGGTTTTATCTTTTTATGGTGTTGCATGTATGGTTGTTTACTATATATATTTTTTCTGTTGAACCGTGTTTCGGTTTTCATGTGTGTGCTAGGTGACTGGTGGTCAATCGATACTGATTATGTGTTAACATTCCATTTTTAAGCAGGTTAGTGATCATTAAATAATCATTGAAACTAAAATACTTGTACACATTAGATTTCAATTTTACTGTTTAGTTGATGTTGTGTTGAATTACCTTTTAAATGGTTTTATTGATTGAAATTTACGTCAAATACAACTATTGTGTGTATTAGGTGGAAGAAGAATTCTATCTGGAATAAATCTGGGACTTGGACGTTATAGTTTTTTAGTGTGAAAATTACAAGAACTACATAGTTTACGACAAAAATCCTTGCACACAAACCGGATGAAATCATATTTCGTATTTATCTCCGGTAGGTTTGAGATTGAAAATCTACTACGTATCCTATTTTACGATAAATATTCTTGTTCCTTCTTAAATGTTTTTATTTAAGTCCGGACTCCCTTAGTCAACTGAAACTCTAACATAACAACTCTCTAAGTTACTCAAGTCAATTTACTACGCCACGCTTCTCACCGCAATCACACACATTACGTATAAATATCTTAGAACCTATTCCACCGCCTTGCGGAACACCGCGTGCTGTGGGGTCTCAACTATTTGTTTTATTCGGTTGTCGGCGACAATGCGCTGTAAATAGCGACCGCGACTGTCGCCGGCTTTGCTCTAAATGCTTTCACTTATCACAGACGCAATTAACTTTTACGACACTTCCAGAAAAATTGACCGTTATTAGTGACACATACGGAGACGAGTTATCGTTCTTGGAAGAGCCGGCCTATAAAGTGGCCGTTTTATCGGGCGGTGTCGCTGTCGCGCCGAGAACTTACTACTAATCATATTTTTGTGTCATTAAATCACGTCTTGCCATTGGCTGCCAGATGGCTGGGTCTCACCCCCTCCCCTGGCTGGCTTATGGAAATCATTTAATCACCCTATTTATCGTCCCTTTCCCCAGTACCCCATTATAAGGGATCGTGGTTTCAATTGGCCCAGGGAGGGTGGCAACTGAGTCATGTTTATTTTGATGCTACCCCGCTTACTAGAACGCTCCTTGATGATGATCACAGATAATTTTTATTTTTTTTGTGATAATTTTATTACAAAATTGAATTACTGTCAAGTTTATGCAAGTGATATTTCAATTTACCCTTGGACATTTGTACTGAGGTTTTTAAGAATGTACTTGTGAGTAAGAGTGCTTTAAATCAAGTTCATTGTGTTTGACATGTGCATTTTCGGAATCAATATCAATTATGATTGATATTGATATTAAAATACTGTATAACAAAACACCGATTATGGGCCTGGATACAGCTTACTTCTCCACTTTCAAACAGCATTAAATTATGGTTTTGGAAAACCGAAGTGTGTCCAGACCTGAAAAGTATATAAGTGAAATTGTTTGATCCGCCATGATGACAACAAGAAGAAGCCCGGAAAATAATCACCATGAGTTCATTAAAATTTGGTTTTGATAAAAACTTGATATAGCTGAGCTTAATGACGTCGTTTAAAAACTTGGCCGTCTAAACAAATCATTATAAAATATATAACATCAAAATGCTTGAGATTTATTTCCAACTGATTTCAAGTACGCTATCGGAATGTGTCTCCTTATTTACTCTACATTATTAGACTTGTTAACTTATATTTGGAGATATTGGCAATGAATGATGAAATGTATAACTAATTTTAAAAGTTCAAAAAGGCCAATATATAATAAATTGTTTTAATCACAAGCGCTTTCGGAAACTATGTTTCCATCTTCAGGCTGTGTTCAAACTGGTACAAAAAGTAAATATTTACAATAATTAATTCAAAGTAAATTTAAAGCAGATGATGCAAAGGATATTGGAGAAATATATGAAAAAATAATCTTTTGAAATTTTTATATATTACAGTATTGTTCTTGATGTAATTATTTTAAGTAATTCCGAGTTAAAAATTGGGCCGTCTTCATTATTCAACAAATAATTTTGGTCTGTTTTTTCTATAAAATAAGATTCCCATGCATTAAGATGTTGAAGTTTTATAATTTGTTTCAAAAGTTTAAGGTTTCCCAAATTGAAAATATGTCCTGTATTAATACTGTGGCTAGCAAGGGCTGACTTTTCAGGTCTTCTGTATTTTGCATGAGCTTGGTGTTCTTTGAACCTGGTTTGGATTTTTCTTTTTGTTTGGCCGATATATTTCATATTGCAATCATTACAATTAATTTCATATATTCCAGACATGTCAAATTTTTATGGATTTCTTTAGGATTGCCTAATTTTGATTTCAGTAGGTTAATAGGTCTGAAAGTTAAATTTTGTGATGTTTTATTCTTGAAAATGTTCTTAATATTACTTGCAAATTTTGAATTGTACGTTATACTAATCCAATTCATTTCCTTTTTCTTTCCTGATTATTGTAAATATTTTAACTAATATTTAGTAAATATTGTAAATTAATTAATTATTGTAAATATTTACTTTTTGTACCAGTTTGAACACAGCATGAAGATGGAAACATAGTTTCCGAAAGCGCTTGTGATTAAAACAATTTATTATATATTGGCCTTTTTGAACTTTTAAAATTAGTTATACATTTCATCATTATTAAACTTGTGTTTTAGTTTAGCTTCTTTAACAAGATGAACAAGTCTGCATTGTATCAATTTAACAATCCAATATTACTGTAGCACAGCGTTTTCATTCTTCCTTGATCTAAATGTGTATCACTGATGCATTAGTGATGACTCACCCTGAGCGTTGAAGTTGGTGGCAGGGTCCGGCACGTACTGGTGGTGTGCTGGGAACGCACTCTGCAGACTCATTGAGTTGAAGGCATTCAGCTGCTGACTGTTGAGCTGCTTCCTCAGTCTGGCTCGTCTGTTGCTGAACCACACTTGGACCCGAGCCTCCGTCAGCTTCGTTCTGTAACAAGCATGGTGCGTCAGCAAAACGCAAAGGTTGTAATTGAACAGTTAGTTATGAGGTTCACTTGAGCTGCTTCCTCAGCCTGGCTCGTCTGTTGCTGAACCACACTTGGACCCGAGCCTCCGTCAGCTTCGTTCTGTAACAAACATGGTGCGTCAGCAAAATTCAAAGGTTGTAATTGAACAGTTAGTTATGAGGTTCACTTGAGCTGCTTCCTCAGCCTGGCTCGTCTGTTGCTGAACCACACTTGGACCCGAGCCTCCGTCAGCTTCGTTCTGTAACAAGCATGGTGCGTCAGCAAAAATCAAAGGTCAACCAGCATAATTGGAATATGGGAACGAGGGTGTATGGGGGGTTTATGGGGTAAAAATAGATTTTCCCCATTTTTGAATCAAAAAGAATTCATAGTTTCTCTCCAAACCATTGTGTAGAGCTTAAAAAAGGAAATAATTTTGTATATTGAAGCGTTGTTGTATGTCCAATGATTGTGGAAATAATTTGAAAAATTGTAAATTTAAATTTCCCATGTTTTTCTTATGGAGAATAAATAATAAACCGTTGTAGTATTCTTGTTTATGGATATATTTAAACCAAATTTTTGAAATTTTGTTTATTTAATACTAAGCTATCAACATTGCAAAAAAACACATCTCAATATCTTCCCTGTAGCAGCTAAAAGGTACTCACTGCTAAAAAGGTACTTCTAGGTACTCACTAAAATTAATGTTAATTAAATAGGAAATCAATCTGACAATTCTTAAGGAATATTTTAGTAGAAATCCAGCCAGGTAAATGGAAATTCGCTTAGTCTGCAGGTTTGCTGCAGCAAGGGTATTTTTTCATTATGTAGTAGGTGTTAGGAGGAAATCTCAATCGAACTATTGCTCATTTTAATGCAGATATCATTGGTACATATATATTAGCAATCAGCTGTGTCCGGGTTTCTGGCCAAGACCTTTTATTCAAGTACGCGGATAATATATTCGAGCTTTGCCGAACCTTGCTCGGCTTTCGATTAAAAAAGACATTCTTATGATTAACTTAATGTATAAATATATCTACAATCATTTTGTATGAAGATTTTAAAACTACATACAAAACAGTCTCGTTCAAAATTGTAGGCAAAGTTTAATACAAATTACAAACTCCTTTACCAAAACTGCACTTTAAGCAAAAGGTTGCATCGGGGCAGCGATAAGCGTTTACCACAAGAACGGGTTTAGGGATCGTAAAAATTTCACTCATAAATCAAATTTGTGTGCGTGTTGAAGTAACCTTGATGTCAGCTTGGGGTGGTGAAAATGTCAAGGTGGACCTTATGGCGATTCATGCACTTACCACATGTTAATATGGCCAAACCCCGCCCCATGCACACTATTATTATATCGCAGCCATTGAATAAAGATATTCTTGCATCACTAGGCTGCGATGAAAGGTCAAGCGGTTTTAGGCGCTTTAGGTGATTCCGTTTTATTTTATATTCTATCGTCGAAGGCTTGGTCAAGTCTTGGAGCATGTCGTGTATGGAATAAATTATGTTTTAATATAATTTTATTTTATGTTATATTTGATTTATTATGTTTTTTACATTCAGTCAATGGCCCTGTAGTTTTCCGAAGGTTTTTTTATGATTAACATTGTGTATGTATTAATGCGCCTCATTTCTCGGTTTTATTGCTACCCAATAAAGTGTATGAATTCTACGAAACTTGAAAACCCTTTAATGCTTTCTTTGGATAGTGATTAAATTAATAGGCATTTTATATATTTGTTTTAATTTATTTGCCATCTCCAATATTTGTTTAGTCTCTAATATCAACATATTATCGAGCCAAGCTATGTTATAATTTAGATACTCTTGTAGTTTTATTTTTATTTTTTATTTTTACTTTGACCCCAAAAGCTATTTAAACTAAGTAAAAATAGGATTATTGTTTTTGTTCATCAACTTTGTACTTCTTTCATTTTTACAATCAAACCACGGATCACTCCATCTTTACATGTTATAATTAATTAATAATAATACTAATTATGTAACAATAATAATTCATATTCAGTTTACTTCTGAGATGGATTACTTTATGCTGAATTGAATGTGGTTACTAAATTTATTTTTAAAGTAACCCTCTCAATATGTCATGTGACAAAAAACATAAGAGTTTATAAAAGGAAATAAATAAGTTCAGACCACCATGGTTGTGTTTCTGAGAGTGCAGATAGTTTTATTCAATAACTCTGGATTATGAATGTAATTTTAACCCGAGCCAAATATGGCCTAGTATTTTTATGAGCTGGTTACAAACTCGTTTTTCTTGGTCAACTTCGTCCACTAGTGGTAAAATATGACACGTATCAAGCACACGAATAATATGGTACTTTGTACTATTATCTTCTGTAATTCTTCCGGAAGAGATTGCATTAGTACTTCTATTACAACGCTAAGAATGTAATACAGTTTAAGTTAGTGTATAATCCAATGGTTGAAAACTTGACCAAAAATACCTAAGGTACTATTTTTTCTATATTTTCACCCCCACTGTAAGTAAAACATGTGATTGGAATTTCTTCCATTTGATTTTATTTTCTGTTTATATTTTGTTGTTATTTCGTCACCAGCATGGCAACCCATAAAGCCCATGTTAATTTTTAAAATTTTAATTAATATTTTATGCTTATCTTTGAGCCTATTTTAATTTATAGAGGGATTCTGCACACCTGCAGGAAAATGTCTTTCTAACAGTATGCGTAGATTTTCCCTACGATGCACACCTGAGAAAAAAGGTTTCAAAGAATCATGCTTGCCTATTTATATATAGATGATTTACAATAAAATATAAGACTCTGATTGCCAGCTTGTATGTTTGACAAAGTAAGTCGTAATTTAAAAAATAAGCACCCACTACAAACTTTAACAACTTTAAACTAAAAAAGTTGGCTAAATAAATATTAAATTTAAAAAAAACTGCTGTCAATTTGATTTGGATGTCCAAAACGATCCACATTCATGTACAGACACACAGTTAATGGAATTTTAAATGTTCATCAAGCTGTAGTCACTTTGTTTAACTATTACAAAACTCTTTTCAAGTTTTTCTCTATTGGTTACTAACAACTTCCAATCAACGCAATAATCCGCAAATGCAGCCAAACTCATTATATATTTAGTAAACTTGATTATTGCTCTAATTAATTTTAACACACCAAATTCGTCCAACAACAATACCCCTCGCTAACAGTTTAAAAACCGATCTCTCAACATTTCAATCAATAAAAACCAAGGTGCATTACCCAAGGAAACATAAGTGTTATTTTGTTGTTTCTGCTCTAGCTTACTACCGTTTCACAGCAGTATCCGATGGCCTACATAGAACCTACTTTTCTACTGTTACAAAACCGTACTCGTCCCCAGAGTTTTGAAACAACCGGTCCGAGACGAATACTGTATGAATAAATCAGCAAGTTTCTACATGTCCAGGTGTTGCTTTATAATTCTTACCTACTAGGTGTTCTACAAGTTTTATCAGCTGCTCTATTTATTCTTTGTTATTGATGTTTTTGTGTTCTTCCTTTTACACTCCCCTCTTCATACAAACTAGTCCCCTACTTTTAGTCCCTCCTACTTTCGCCCATTCTATTCAAGTACGTCTCATTTGCTCATTCTATTTGTATTTTGTTAGCCACTCCCTTTTCACCATCGCAAATGATAAGTACTTAAAGTTTTCAGTTGTTTAATTTCTTTTAGTTTTTCATACTAGCCTAGATTCAATTACACCTTCGACTACATAGAACTATCTCATTTCTATGTTAGAGCTGTTGCTTACTAAATCAAATTTAGACACCAAAAGTTTGCTATCAATTAATGCATATTGCACACGCAAAAAATACAACAGTATATTTTATAACACATCAGAAGTTGTGGCTATGATTACGACGACAGATAAAGAAAATAGTATACAGCGTACGCTGGGACAGATTTATTTCACTAAGTTCTTTTGAAAAAGAAATAATGGCTACAACTGTTTCATATAGATGAATGTTTACGAGCTCCAATATTAAAAGTCAACGATTGAATTTATGTTTTTATGGATAAACTTTGACAGAAAAAAAGTAATTTCTATTACGCTTATTCAGGTATAACCAAAACATCTTATTCCTATAATAAGTCAATACACATTTATATTACTCTTTACTCTACCGTACCACCCTCCTTTGCATAAAAGTAACAAACAACCTAAATAAATGTTTGTTCTCTTTTCTCAATCGTTTTATCATTATTTTAAATCCGAGCATAGCGTAAATTGGAAGAATCAAATATTAATTTAATAATAATTAATTATCTACCTAATTTACGGGCATTCTTATACATAAGAAATACTGTTAGTGAATGAGAGATACTTTTATTGTTATTCTTTCCCTCACTCCACCCATGTTCTCTTCAGGTGTCTAGTTCCTGATGGTTTATCAGCAGCTAAATAAGTGTGCTCCTGCTATCTCCGCGTTCCGCCACCTCCGAACCCAAATCTGTCCCGCCACCTCCGAATTCTTGAGTGACCCTTATAATCCCGTCACTGCCTGCGTTGTTAGCTGTCATTGCATCCACGGCTGCGAAGCCCCGTGGATGGAAGATTTAATGAAAATTTAACCCGTGGGTTAGGTTAGGTTAGGTCAGGTTAGGTTAGGTTAGGTTAGGTTAGGTTAGGCTAAGTTAGGTTAGGTTAGGTTTGGACGGAAAGTCTTAACACAGGAAGTAACCGAGGATTATAGGGGTCACTCTGAAATTCGGAGGTAGCGGTACACGGAGGTGGCGGGACGCGGAGATAGCGGGAGGTAACCGCTAAATATACTCAAGTATGGAATAATGTCAACCTAAGATGTGTAATGACTCTTTCCCTTCCCGCTCCCTCTCCATACGTCATCCCCCCACTTACTTCTGAGCCAGCTCCTCCCTGGTGTACACGTCAGGATACTGGGTTCTCTGGAACGCCCTCTCCAGTTCCTCCAGCTGGTCTCCGGTGAAAGTTGTCCTACTACGGCGCTGCTTCCTCTTCAGAGGGATGCCTGGCTCTGACTCGGTGTCGCTCTCGTCGCCACTGCTGGGGCCTGGAACATCAACACAGATACATATATATATATATATATATAGATGGATAGATACACAAGACAAACAAATGTGTGATATTTATATGTGTTAGATGAATGAGTTTAATTTTGAGAACAAGATTTTTAGGAAGATTTTCGGACCTATAAATGAAGAAGGTATGTGGCGAATAAGAAAAAACCGAGAGCTCCGAGGACTGTACAAAGAACCATACATTGTAGCCATAGTGAAGAGTAGACGACTGAGATGGGCAGGCCATGTAGAAAGAAGGGAAGAATAAAGTATGCTTAAGAAGATCGCCTATGGACAACCACGAGGCACTCGCCCGCTAGGAAGACCGAAGTTGAGATGGAGAGGCCAAGTCCAGAAAGACCTACACAGAGTGGGGGCATCTCTTGACATGGCGGCAGACCGGCAGCAGTGGAGGCAACTTGTTGGCGAGGCCAAAAACCTTCTTAGGTTTGAGTGGCCAAGGAGGTAAGGTAAGGTAAGATGGATGAGTAGATATATGGACGGATTAGTTTATAGCTAAATCCATGCATGTCATTGATAGGCAGATGGATAGATGAATGGAATGTTGAACGGATGGTTGGATTGATACGTCAGAACAAAGGCACTTGACAAACAAATCCTTAAGCTTACTTGTACTACGGTATATTTTTATTTTTCTTATTCCTGCCTAAGAACCACAAATACGAGTAAAAAGTACTTACTGTACAATAATTTTACATTTTAAACCATGGACATTATTTTAACATTAAACTTGGACGGGTGGCATCGTCATGTAATCCAACTACTAGGAGGTCACGAATTGTGGATATTTATAGGGATGCACTGTGGATGCGATGCTCCCTGGTGTGGATTAACGTCCGCACTAGTGAGTACTACGACTATCCGCAGTACTATCCTGATAGTTAGACCAATTTGTAAATCACAAGGAAAAAAATGTGGTTCGGATTCCACTATAAACTGTAGGTCCCTTAGTTGCCAATAGCTGTGTGGGCTATTAATTAACAGCTGTGTCTAAGGAATGTCGGCCTTAGTCACTAACAAGTCTACATGATCGCACCACTCATCCTACACTCATCTCCATTCATATTTGGCTTAAAATACCTACTTTGTATGGTCGCCATTTCATAGAACAGTATTAACAGTACTAACATGTGGTTTTTTTGTCACATTACTTTTAAATCATTCACCGATTAAACCAACCGATCAAAGTCAATTACCATAAACCCAATAAAAGTACTCTACGCACATTCAATTACGATCTGTGTCCAATAAATCGGCTAAAAAAAATCAAAACACGAGTCGTAATCGAACAACAAACACCCGATCAAACGCAGGGACAAATCATCCAGAAAGCGTCCGATCCTCGTAGTAAATCTCGCTCAACAAACAGTGAGCAGACAACAGGTGTTAGACCACCTCGGAGCGAGGTATTAATGATGATTAATGAGGGACCTAACCTAATCAAACGGGCCGCACAATATCACAGTATAAATAACGGGCACAATTAAATTATTGGTTCATAAATTTTCACCATCCAATCCCCGAGGACAATTTAACGCAAGAAAGAATTTACTGGTTGTAGTTGAAATTTA